GAACTGTGGTCGGTGTTGTAGTATAGCGGCAGTGCGTTAAACGTTATGCCGACGCTCTCCAGTGACGCACACGGGCATTGCTCAGCTGGGGAGATACTCGCTGGCACTGCGAATTCACGAAGACGTAGATGGGGTTTTTTTTTATCCCACGACCGCAGTTACCGACCCACCACCACCTTCTACGGCAGGCAGGCCGTTACTCACCCTGGAATCCGTCTCTAGGAGCGGCGGTCAACACCGCGCGCCAAACAAACGCTTCATGTCGTCGCTAGGGTCAAGTGTCACTTCCTATCGGTGGGTGTGAGCGGGAGAATAAATTGTTTCACTACGCAAGTCCTGATTGTTAAGGAAATGACCAAATCACCCGGTTAGGTGCCAGATTTCGCGGCATCTCGAAAGTGTGGCGTGTTCAGGCATGGGCAAGTGAGTGCTTAGATGCGCGACCACAATTGTACTTTCCCGAACGGGAGCTTTCAGTTTGAAGACACCTACAATCTAGATAGGCGCTGCGTGACCACTGTGCGCCGTATGTTGTTATTTAGAGGTCGCAGGGCTGCGTGGTGAGTCGTGCAGCAACGCTAATTATTGTACTGCACTTCTAAACTCCCACACCAAGCCGCATTAACTTGCCAGTGCAGTGAAGTCCGCTCAAATAACCTTCCACGACCCGCACGGTTTGAAGTCCCTCTTTCGATGAGCACGGTTGACACCTCCGATTAACACGGTTGGCAACGTATGGTGTGAAAGAAGTTCAACATACTGTACATACATTCAACAGTGGATGGATAAAGGCCTGTGAGATAAAACGTTTTCAGGAAGCTGACAGGCTCTTTATGCTGTGTGACATTCTGGGAACATCTGTGTTATTCGCAAACAAGCCACACGGTTTCACAGGAAACTACAAAACCCCAAAACCAATCCTGCGAAATTCTCACCACACAGTTTAACACGGAGGCTTTCGCGACCAATATCTTTAATACAGGTTTTTGGGTAAGATCGCGTAAATATATCGTTCATCCCACCACCACCCGACACAGCCAATTAATAAGGTTTGTCACGTAAATAGAACATTCGTTACTAGGAGAGAAAAGCCACAACATTTACAATCTGAGTACGGCGTTTAGTCCGTAAATTTGAGTACGTAACATCATCCTCATTGTAAATGGTGTGGCTTTGCTCTCCAACACACCAGTGTGCTGTACTAGTAACGAATTGTCATGCTTTGTTAACGTGACAGACCTTACTAATTGGTGGTGGCGAGTTTAACTAGACATTTATATATTTACGCGATCAAACCCAAAACACATTTTGGATCACACCACACAGCTCACCCACGCAAATGACGAGACCTATGTCATTTTTGCATAACATTGGAAGTGAAAAACTATTGTCATTTTCGAGTTTCGCCACGTTTCTGTGCATCTCTCAGTTTCTCTCGAAGCGTGTCTCTGCTGCTCAGTGTCTCATATCTCGTCTCCGTGTTTCGTTGTGTCTCCGTGTCTATCTCTCTTCATGTTTTTTCGTCTCATTGTCTCTCTGTGCCACTCAGTGTCACTGTCTTTTATCTCTCTCCACGTCTGTCTTCAGGTCTATCTCATTGTCTCATTCCCTGTCCCTCTCTCTCTCCATATCTCTTCCTGGGTTTAAACATAATTATTTGGCTGATTCGTAAACATTCAAATAATTTAAGTGGCTTAGGTATCCTATGCGGAATAGTATCTCTTTAACAGCTGCTATTGGTGTCATATGATGGTGTATGCATAGTTTTTTTTTTAAGAGTACTGTATTTCCCAATTATAGCTACTGTCTGTCATTCGCCAAAATGTCACGTGGCTTATTTTTAAATAAAACATATTCACTGAGTACAAAAATAATTATTCGACAATATGTGAAGGCGGTACACAATTATATGCTGTTGGTGAACAGGATACGTTCTTTGGAAGGATGTAGACATTTTCTTTTATCCTATTAATTTGGCAATAAAGGATATTCATTAATTTGTAAAAGCGGTGTCTGGACTGATATTGTTCAGGCTCCGGCTCTGAATCGCTGGTGACGTCGCTAAGCACAGAGCACGTTGTGACGTAAAAGTGTGTCGAGCACAGAGCAAGCTGATGTGACGTCAGAGCACATACAGCAAAATGTGGCGTCACACAGGACACGGCATGGGTTCAATTCCTAGCCACGGTTAGCATCAGCAGCGAGTCATATCTGAACCACCCATTTACCAACCAGCACTGACCAGCATGGTGAAGTATAGTCAAACCTCACGACTGATACGGTGTGGCAAGGCCTTCATACAGCAGTAGATTGACAAATTTCAATACATTGTTATGCATCTATTTTTTTGTAATAGGAACATAATACTGCGGGAGTTGGTTTACACTTTGCATGGTTGTGCTGTGGAGCTCTCCGATGTGTTTTCGGGTTGTACCGCGTGATGTTCGGCACGATGTCCGACGTTTTGCTCCATATGCTGAGAACCCGGTAACTTCAGGAACTGAAGAAGCTCCCATCCCAGCACGTGCAGAAAAACGTCGGACGTTATTCCGAACAACACACGGCATAACAGGAAACCACATCGGAGAGCTAATAACGTTAATTTGCAATCCGGGAAGTGTGATGCAACATCTGGCGCTCTGCCTTTAACCCAGCAGCCAAGTCGGTAGCGGTTGCAGTGTGGACCTAAATCAGCTGATTGCTTTCGTCCACGTTTCCTGCATATCCATGTTTAGAGCAGAGCGCCTGTGACTCAGGGAGGCTTGTGAAACTGGAAACAATTTCTCCAGCAGGCTTTAACATTCTGTTACAAGAAGTCAGTTTCGCGTAAGCGATCACTTTCATTGTAAAAACGTAATGTGTCACATCTTGGCTATTTGTTTTCCATCATCGCACTCATTACTGTGTTAGTCACTGGATTCCCACTGCTGGATGAAGGGCTCTCCCAAGCCATCACCATCTCTCACGGTCTTGTCATGTAAAGATCGAGAGCACCTGCGCACGATATGATTTAGTCGTTCCATCTCCACAGTGGAGGTTCCCTTTGGGTGTTTTCTCTCCACTGGCTGTCGCTCCATTTTTAGCCTCGACCTTCATCCCATCTAGCGATGTGGCCTAATTAATATAAAAGTATGAGTCATAATATATAAATAGCATCCCTTCTTGCGACGTGGCTTGCTCAAGAACACTTTTCTTAACAATCAATGTTATGATTAGATTTTAATAATGCAATTTGTAACGCGCGCAAGTTTGCGGACGGAACGGCCGCAACTCAGAGGTGCGGAGCCAAGCTGAGTCACTCGAAAGTCATGTTGTAGAGGTGAGTTTTTAAGTGTCTCTTGAAGGAGACGATGGAGTTGATGCTGCGAATGTGCAGAGGGGATGGCGTTCCAGACTGTGGGGGCAGCCACCGAGAAGCGGCTCATAGCCGTGACCTTCCCGGATCTTGGTATCGAGAGGAGGTCGTGAGCCACACTGCGAAGGCATCTGCCAGATGTAAAGGCACGGTGGCAGAGGCATGGTGATCTTGTGTGTGACCCTGCTGGCAATGGGAAGTCAGTGGAGGGTGCGGAAAGAGGCAAGTGAGTCGAGCCGAGGATGAGTGTGGCCAATGATGACGCGTGCTAGGTTGTTTTGAAGTCTTTAAAGTTTTTTGAGGTTGCCAGAGGAGGACCGGACTAAGACAGAGTTGCAATAAATTTCGATTTAAAGCTTTCGTGACTGCAGGGATTCATCTTCTTGGTTCTTTCGGTAAAGTCACGTAGAAGGGAAGTAATAAAATAATAAAAATAAAACATAATAAAATAATTCACACGACGTTTCGGACACACGCTGTCTCCCCGACAGACCTGGTCTTCACCTGAGGACGGCTGCTTGCGTTGTGGCCGAAACGTCGTGTGAATTATTTTATTATGTTTTATTTTTATTATTTTATTACTTCCCTTCTACGTGACTTTACCGAAAGAACCAAGAAGAAGAGTTGTAATAGTCGAGGCGAGACCCAACTATGCAACATGCTGTAGCCTTAACAGACTGTAGGGGCAAGTGCTGTTAGCGAGCACTTATAAAGGCCCGGAACGGTACACGAGGGAGTGGGTGGCCAGCACCACACCCGACCGCCTTTATCTTCCCAGTGGCGATGTTTACACACCGCACCAGGTACTCATTTGAGGCTGAGTCGACCTAGGGGAGACCTAGGACCGGTTCAAATAATCGTCACTGGTGTTAGCCGTGAGCAGGAATCGAACCCGTGTTGCTGGGTTCGTAGCGCAGCGCGTTAAGCGCTGCACTACCCACAACATAGACCCACAGTCTATAACAGCTGCTTATGCGAGATAATTGCCCATACATGCACTATCCGGGCTCCAGCATGATTAACATTCCGAGATTTAAAACTTCGAACTTCAATTTTTTTTCCCAGGTAAGGCTCACTGAGCTATATCGCTCTTTATCAGAAGCGACCTGACCACAATTGATAGCTCAACTAAAGTGACTTATCACGTGTAAATGTAGAGCAGCCAAATACCCTAAATGCACGATTCTAAATGTTGTGGAGGGAAAAACTCCAAATATAGAGGCATCAGGGTCGGGATCGAACCCACGACCTCCTCCATACCAGGCGAGGTAGTTAACATTTGACGAGATGTGGCGCATTTCGGGAGATTTGGTCATATGCCGTGATGTGTTATGGGAACTGAAATAGGTCAAATGTTTAACTAACCACACTACCAGACATAACTTTGGCTCATCAGCCTACGAACCTTCTGTCGCCAATATTTTCCAGCCGCATTTATTCACGCTGGCAAAATTCTGAGCCTCATCGCAATTGACTCGGCAAAAACGCCGCTTAAATCCCTCCTAAAAGGAGCACCGAAAAGTGTAATTTAAATTTCACGTGATGAAACAGAGCCCCCCCCCCCCACCCCTTACATTAATAGCGAGAATATAAATAATAAAAATACGCCGTGGCAGCAACAGCAGCAGCAGCCAGGAAGCGGAACCCGAAGCCTGCACACGCAACAACAAAAAAACGCAGCCTCACGGAAGCCCTCGGAAACAGCCAAGCGCCGTGATTCTGCAACACGGAACCTGGGCAATCCGTCCGTCCACATGATCGACGCGACAGCATTCGTGGTATCGATCAGTCCACAGTAAACTTGGCTGATTCCACGCGTGGTAGTGGCCGAATAAAGCAAACCCAAAGACGCGTCGGGGACTGCAGCAGTGCGTGAAGGAGAGTAGCGGGGAGGGACGCGCAGAGAGACATTCCAGCGAGCCGCGCCCGGCTGCAACCCGCAGCGCAACGGACAAAGGTGGGAACCAACAAAACAATCATCACCACAACCACCACAAATCTACCAGCACAAGTACTGTAAAACAACTAACAACCACCACCACAAATCTACCAGCACAAGTGCTGTCCACTAAATAACAACCACTATCCACCAGCACAAGTACTGTACGAGAAGACTAACCACCGCCACCAACAACAACAACCATCCACTCAATCTGAAATCGACCATCCACACAACAACAACAGCCGACAACGACGCATCGTCGGCAATGGCTCAGTCACCGAGCGGCCCCACCAGCGGCCAACAACAACAGCAACAGCAGCAACAGCAGCAAGCGGCCACCACCAGCAGCACCAGCAAGGCGAGCCGCCTCTCCGTGGACCGAGTCTACGCACGAAGCGTCCCGGGCGCGCTGCGCGCCGCTCAGCTCCTGGCCAGCACCGCGGCGTGGCTCTGCGTGGCGTGCACGCGATACCGCGGCGCGTTGCATTTCGTCGTGTTCGCCGCCGTCACCTCGTGGCTGCTCACGCTCGCCGCCTACGCGACAGCCCTACTGGGGCTGGGATTAGCGCGCAAGCGACAGGATCGAGGAGGTGGCGGTGGAGGAGTTGGAGGTGGCCATCGGCTCGGTTGGCTGGCGTGCAACGCGTGCGGGGACTGCGGGTGCGCTCTGCTCTGCGTCGCCGCGTGCGCCGTCGCTGCGCACGCGGCGCGCGCGCACTCCTTTTGTGACGTCACGGGCTACCGATCCAGCTGCCCGCATCGCGCGTACGTGGCAGCATCGGTCCTCTGCGGCCTCTGCGCGCTCCTCTACGCCACCTCTGCGCTCCTGCACGGACTCAAGTGGCGGCGGCTGCGGCAGGAGGAGCGGCAGGGCAGCGAGCGGCCGGCTGCCCTCGCTTGAATCACGTGGCAGACGTTTGATGTCGTCTTTCAGTCTGCCGCACCCTGTCTGTTTATGCCCAACGTCCTAGTGTTCGTCCCACTATCGTTGTTGACTCCTTGTTTGGTTTTCTCACCCTGCTCACGTCCGCCCCACCGTCTCTGTGTTTCTTTTGTTCTTCCCGACATTCCTCTGTCCATCATGCGAACTCTGTCCGTCCCCCACAATCCTCTACGTTCCTCTGGACCCTCTTTCGTCTTCCCACAATCCCTTTGTCGGTTCATCTCTCGTCGTGTCAATCCCTCCTGCTGATGCCAGCTCCCCTGTACTGTTACAAACTGATTGGCTGGCATGGCATGGGTCTTGATTGACTGCCTCTGATGTTACATTTCATAGGTCATAGTGCCTGTATCAGTATTGTTTGTTTAACTGCTCAATCCTTTATTCAAAGTGTCAACTGCCTCTTTCTGGCAACTTGATGTATTTGTTTAGGTGGAGCCAAGACTTGGGGTGTGTCATATGTGGCTTTTCCAGAAATGTACATATATGTTGAGATGAGCTTTTAGAGTCATCTTTGTGTAACCACCTATGTGTTGTCCATGGCTGGGTCATGTAGCATGGATGCCTAACCACAGGATGCCCAAGCAGGTTCTGTTTGGCCGGATAGAGTAGGATAAACGGGCATGACACGGGCTGGAAAAGAGACGTACTGATGCGGTACGGGAGGATGTGGAGCTAAGTGGACTTGCCAAAGACTGGTACCAGCGGTGTCAAGATCGGCCTCTATGCAGGAGGCTCGTGAAGGACGCTACTGGTCAGTTGGAGACAGTCACCCTCCAGCAACAACGGAGGGCAGAGGAGTGACGCTCACAACAACGAGCGGAGCGCCGGGCGGATAAAATTAAGCAAGTTGGCAAAGTAGGGGGCACAGTTGGTGCATCTGCCAGTCGTCTCAGTCAGCCCATGGCACCTGGGTCTGTCTCGTGACCTGTCCGCGAGCCTTCGACACTTCACGTGGCCTCAAAGTGCACCTGACCTGGCACAGGTGCCGTGGTGGCGGGTATTGGTATATATTGGTATTGGTTCATAAGAGCAGGGAGTGACTACAGATTTGGTGGTGACTGCCTTTTAATCATGTATTACATATTGGGCTATAGGAAGTCACAAGAGATTAAGAATTCCATGTCCTAGAGAAGGGAAAGATGGCACCCTCATCAACAGTCTCATAGCGAGAAATGAAAGTGAGTGACCACAGACGTAGTGGCAATGACTATTTCAACCATACGTGGAACTTGTAAAAGAGCCATATGAGGATTACAGCCATATGAGGCCTACCACTTCCAAATAGCCCGTAATGACACCTATCACTACAAGCATCTTAGCTGCACTAATCGGGTGCAAGAGGGAAGTTTCTTTCAACCATTTCTGATTTCAGCATGCTCAGTCACTTCTGTTATCTCAAGGGACTTTTTCAATGACAACATTTGGGTGTGGGTTAATGTTTGGCCTACCAGATGTGTCTGGAAGTCTGAGATTTGACCCTCAGTATTTATAAATAACTATAATAGTCTGAATACAATATAGGCAACTGGCCGAATAAATTTTGTTCTGACTGGAGCAGTAAATAACTGTTACATTAACAATGATGCCAAATAAAATACCACAATAAAATTCTAGCAATTCACTTACCAACACACCAAGTGAACCAAATCAGAATAGACCACGGTCAGGTTAGGGTCTTTCTAAACGACTCACGTAATGACACGAGGTCCCCAGTTATAGCTCCAGTAATTGCCTCTGCATTTTGGTTAAAGACTACATTTTTACGTGTAACAAACTTTTTTACAAATGTTATCCATAAACTGGCATGCTTTGACCCCACACCTATTTGGCTGTTGTCTGGCCAACCGAAAGTTATGCAATAATCTGAACCACAAGTCCTGTACGCGATGTGCAGACAGAATACTACGAATCTGCAGATCAGATAGTGATTTCTGACATTTGCTCACGAGACAACTTTATTTGATTGGCTATGTCGGGTAGTGGAGGCTTATAGTGAAAAATTGGTATTATAAATACACGATCTAACCATAAAAATGTTTTATTAATCATTGGTCGTGAAAGGCTACGTATAAAAATAAGCTGTTTTGTTGAACGTATTTATATCATTTCGTAGTGAGAATGATAGCATGCTAAGGTTGCTCATGTAGTGTTAAGTATTCAAATAGCCACGCTTGCATCGTCATAGCTTGTGAAACGAACACGGTATCGCAGAATACAGGAGCCTTCCATGAGGAGTGAATGTACCATTCCAATCGGTATGTTTACTAAGTATACTGCTGTGAACTCTTGTCAAATGCAATGCACTGTTTATACGTATAACGATGGTACAGCATAATTCACATTTGAGTTATGCATCATTATTCCATGTGCATAAGCCAACTCTAGTCAAAGTGTGGGATACATTTACAGTTTTTTTTATTACATTGATTACATTGATAATGATTACATTGATGCCTTCTAAAGCACTACCATCAATAACTGGCTTATGAGATTGCGCTGCCTCCAACAACATGAATGTTAGTGGTATATATAAATAGCCATTGTTAATCCACTGCTGGATGACGGCTTGCCCACACTTTGTCAATCATAGGGATTGTTGACTATACTTCACCACGCTGGTCGGCGCAGGTTGGTGAAGTGTTAGAGGACAGGAGCAGGTTGGATATCGCTCGCCACTAATGTTAGCCGTGGCAGGGAAATAAACTCTGGTTGCTGGGTTCATAGCACATTGCACTAACCACCGAACCCCTAGTGGTGTACACATTTTAGGAATGTGCTCATGAGCATATTCAATTAATAATGAACCAAGTACATATTTTTATATTTGCTATTTTTTTCATTTATCTCCCTCATCGGAATTCCAGCCTTATCTGAAACTGACAAAAAGTGACCAATTCCTAAACAGCCTCAGAATTAACAGTACTGTTTTGTATATTTATTACGTTTTCTACCAGCATTGCTTTTTTTTTATATTAACACGAAGTTTTATAAATGTGTTAGCGGTGTGTGCATGTAAAATTACGCGGGAACAAAATGTACCAAATGTATCCGTGGGCAAAGAACACAAGCTGAGACCCGTAACATTGAGGATATGTGGCTCCATGGTTTTTAGCCAAACCAATGCAATGAAAGAAAAAAATCACTAGGTAAGGCCCAATGAGCTATATAGCTCTTTCTCAGAAGCGACTTGGCAATCACAAATGATAGCTAAAAGAAGTGGCTTATCATGTAGACACTTAGAGCAGCCAAATCCTGTAAACGCGTGTTTATAAACGTGAAGGGAAAAACCGGAGGACCCGGATAAAAAAAATCTACGCGACCACAGGGAGAACATGCAAACTCCAAATATACAGGCGTCAGGGTCGGGATCGAATCCACGACCTCCTGTATACCGGGCGAGGCAGTTAACATCTCACCACCGTCTAACAAAGAACGTGGCGGTGGATATTTCGTTGGAAGTGATGCACAAGCACAATTAACAAAGACACGCAACACACTTGTTAACAAGACTTCCTTAAAAACATTAAGTCTATAGGGTGGCCCAAAAGTCAGGACACATAGGGTTTTTTCATTTATTTTAACACTGGCAATCAAACATTGCAATTGTTTCTTCTTTCAGTTATTGTATTTTGTCTATTATTATCATCATCTATTTTTCTTCTTCCTATGGGGTCACTTCAAATCCGTCGTTTACAAAATTTACCCAAAAACCCCAGGATTAATTGAAACAAAAAAGAATTGATCAATGTTCGAAGATAATCTTTTTTGTTAAGTCCGAAATACATTTCAAATGATAATTCATTCACGCATTAATGTTAACGGAAGTCAGTTTGAACATTCGTTTAAAAAAATAAGCCGATATGATTTATATTCTTGGTTCTTTCGGTAAAGTCACGTAGAACGGAAATAATAAAATTATAAAAATAAAGAAACAATAAAAATGATCACGACGTTTCGACAGCAACATCAGGTGTGAAATCCACAGCAAGAAAATTAATGGAAGTCAGTTTGAATTTTTTTTTCTTGCTGTGGATTTCACACCTGATGATGATTGCTTGTGTTGCAATCGAAACGTCGTGAGAATTTTTATTTTTTTATATTTGTATTATTTTATTATTTCCCTTCTACGTGACTTTACCGAAAAGAACCAAGAATATGAATCCCTGCAGTCACGAAAGCTTAAAATAAAAAATTAAAATCCGATATGATTTGTTAAAATAAATACATTCACACTGTGTCCTGACATTAGGGCCACATACACTGTACCAAATTACATTCCTGCATCACCTGCACAATCATTGTATTGTACATGTACTCCCATCATGTAAATCCACTGCTGGGTGAGGGGCTCCCCATGGCATACAGGCTATGGGAGCTATTTGACCGTACGTCACCACACTGATCACTACAGTATAGGTTGGTAAATGCAGGGAGCATACATGAGTACAGTATAACAATGTATATTTACGCACTACACCTTGGCTTCTCAGCACATAACCCCGCTGCCTATAGAACCTGTCATGCATGACCGTGTCACTACATCTAAGCACTATCCAGGCCAAATCTTTGCTTAGCTTTTGAAAACTGACGAGGTTGTGGTGCATTCTGGGAGATTCGGTCACAGTCGTAAGTTATTTGCACGACTGAATATAAAACGCGTAATTGTTCAGTGTGGTGCAGTAATGAACAAATACACGGTGTACAATCTCCGCAAGTAAATCATGGGAGGAGATATTTGTTTACATAAAAAAATATATAACTGCCAAGTTGAAACATTTGTTGGGTTTTTTTAAAAAGTATTCGTTGAAATTTAACATTTGAAATAACATGCCCTTTTTTGTAATGTTCGTTAAAGGTACATGTTTCTTTGTTATGTTTACATTCGCCTTTAAAAAATAATTGTAGAACACGATTTCCGTATAGGCTACGGACTGTATCATCATTCCCAACGTTTGCTAAACCAATGCAGTTTTGTACAAGGGCTATGTAATCTCTTACCGTTGAAACAGCTGTCATTTTAGTGTTAATACAAAATAAATCATTACTAGACAACGGCCTTTTGTGTTGCCTCTAAAGTGCACTTTGGTGAGAAAACACTGAACATACACACACATTTTTCAAGACCATGGTATGTTCAATGGAGGTGAGGCCGTGTTTGACTAGCTGTGTTGATTCTGTGAGTGTATGTAGGCAAAGTCAGCCTAAAGCCTACTTAGAATTTTAATAAATCACATTCTCCAGGTGCTGTGAGGCAAACGCAACCATTGCAATTTACCAACGTGTGCCTACTGTATGTGAAAATATGTCGAGTACTTGACACTTTTTACTTTTGCAGTCACTCATAGGCTATACGGATTCTTAAGTTGCATTTTAATTAGTTGTCAGATTACCAAAAACACACACTTCTCTTCGTGTTCAAAACGGAGCATTTGAATCTATTTAGTTTGACACTTGTAAACCGTCTGAATGATTAAATGTAACGTTGATCAAGATAAGCTGATAACCAATATCTCCAACAATAATCACATCACGGAATGTCGATTTGAAAACAACAGTAGTAGCTGGTTAACACATTTTAAAAAATAACTCCACATTTGTAGGTGCACACGTGACGTTGCCTCCATAGTTGAACAACAAAACGAATACTTCATTGTGAAATGGGAATCTAGTGGTGTGTCCAATGGAAGGAAGAAGACCTCACAGAGAATGGCTTGAGGGCGACATTCGAGATTGGTGCCAGACAAATGTGGCACTGCCTGAGCATTCTGGCACAAAGACAGAGAGCCAAGTGGACACAAGTGACGAAATGTGCGGTGGACATGAGTGATGATGTTGTACATTGCGTGCACAAGTCGCAAGTATTGCTTATCTCGTCCAAATACAGGGCGAAGCATTTATATTACACGCTCTCTTCTCAGCACGTGAGTGAATATTGTGAAAGCAATAAGCTTCGTACATTACAGAGGAAACAGTGGTAAACATGTATAATTCATGCATTGGGTGGGGGACAAGTGGAAGCTTAGAAATTAATTATCTCACTTCTCACTCATTCTAGATTTGAAGCTTTCGTGACTGCAAGGATTCATATTCTTAGGTTTTTTTTCAGTAAAGTCACGTAGGTAAAAAATTAAAATTAAATCATTATTTTATTGGGGTATGGACCACCCTGTAGACTCACTGAAGTTACTTACAGTGGCCTGTAGGTGACATTGACAGAAATTAATGTGCAGAAAGGAAAACATGTTAGGGGTCAATTAATTTGGGAGTCACGAGACATCTGGACCACGCTGTACATGTCTCATCACCTACAGGCCACTGTAAGTAACTTCAGTGAGTCTACAGGGTGGCCCAGATGTCTCGTGACCCCCAAAATTAATTGACCTCTAACATTTGTTTTCCTTTTTGCACATTAATTTATGTTTTAAATAAACCTTACTTTCAAATAAAAAAAATTACGTTTTAGAGAATTAAATGGGGGGGGGGGGGGTCACGAGACATCCCGACCACCCCGAAGAAAGGAAAACATTTACACAGGCACTGTAGCAATGAAATGATGAAAGTAGCATCCAGTGGTGGGGGGGGGGCCACAGCACAGGAGTGAAAAGACACACACACAACACACACGCCTAGTTGTGAGCTAAGGTTCAAGGGACTTAAGCAAATATGTGTTGTGACTGGAACTCTCCTACATACAAACTGAGCAAAAAAAATCAACAGCAAATTCCAGTAGCGTTGGGCAGTGAAGAGAGTGGTTGACTGGGGGATGGGTGAGAATGATTACTCAGTGGCTAGCAGCAAGGGCCATTTCACCCTTACATTGCTCCAGAGAGTGTGTGTGTGTGTGTGACAAAGCCAGCAAAGACACCAGCTGCTCGGGGAAAAGAAGGAAAGGATTGCCTATTTAGGGCCAAAAAACGCTGCAGCAGTCTTGGACCCCCTCCTCGATTTTGGTAAGAAACAAGAACAGCATTTTTCAACATTCATTTGGCGTCGAAGTGGTCATGTGCTTCAGTTGTAACGTGCCAATTCGGATGTGTGTGTGTGTGTTTTAACACAGTGAGTGGTAATCGAACCCGGGTCACAGAGTTCGTAAGCGCAGCGCGCTAACCGCTGTACTCACCGCTCCCACCGGTGAGGATTATCTGAACCGGTCCTGGGCATCCCCTCTAGGTCGACTCAGCCTCAAATGAGTACATCGCCACTGGGGAGACAAAGGCGGCCGGGCGTGCCGGCTTTCATATGCGTTACTCGCTAACAGCACTTGCCCCAAAAGTCTGTTAAGGCTACACGGGGAGGGGGGGGGGTCTTTGTCTTTGTTAACACAGCAGTACAGCGTTACAACGTTTTGGTCATCCGTGCATAATCGTCAAGTCGGGGTTCCGGTGCTTTTGTTGTCCTCTGACCCACGGCTAACATCAGTGGCGATGCGACACGTGGACCTGTAACTTTACCCCACTTCACTCCTTAACCCGCGGTGACCTAGAATTGGTGAAGTATGACCAAACAACCCGCCTCCCTGCCCCCCGTGGCTATATCTCGATCTTACATTCATTCGCATCTTTCTTTCGTATACGGGCTGATGATGTGTTAACGTGCAGAGCAACGGCTACAATGTCACGACATCCAGGTGGTCAAGCCGAGATAACCGCGACAGGAGCACGTGGAGTGATTTCGCTGGAGATATCCCCTTCGTATTTGCGGATCGGGCGTTGCTGCTTCGTTATACGTCGTTACTGGTCTGTTCTGGGTGACCCATACCTATCGATCCAGTACGATTTACCCATATTCTTGTACAGGAAATCGAGTTAAACATTTGGTGCCTGCTTGTTTGTGTTTTCTCACCTTGTGATGGGACTTTGTAGGATGAACTTTGCTATTTATAAGGTCACGGGGGTGACCAGTAAGGTCTGAATTGGTCTGTAATAAGTAGGGCACTGATAAGGGGGTGACAGGTATGATAACCGCAGTCGTCTGCCGTCCGTTGCTGATGATTATGTTGAGTTGGTTGCTAAATGACTCTGTTGAGTGAGCGATAGATTTGTCCCTGTGATGGTGTAGAGTGGGGGGGGGGGGGTGCTGTCAGTATTCGCTGGTGGGGGTCTTTAAAACCACAACAATACAAATCGTGAAATCGTCCCAGAAGATCAAACGTAAAATCGTCACGGATACGAAACGTTTCCAACACTTGTCCCCCGAGGTTGAGCGCGGGCGTGAGCTGACACATTCCGACACAGTAGGAACAACACTTGTGGTGGACGGAGCGGTGGCGCAGTGGTTAGCGCACTGCGCTGTTCATTGCCCGTGCGTCCACGTCCAAGTTCGATTCCCAGCCACGGTTCGTTCGTCCGTTTCTCAATCCGCTTGTCCTGGTGGCGAGGGTCGTGGCGGCAGCGTGTTGAGTAGTGGCGGTCCAGACCCCCCTTTCCCTGGCGGCAGACTCATCACTATACATCACTATACACCGCTATAGACTACTACTAGACACTACTACATTATACACTACCACACTATACACTATTACACTTTTGCTGGGGAATTCCCAGGCGTCCCCAGGCCAGCCGAGCGACATCGTCCCGCCAGCGTGTCCCTTGGGTCGGCCCCGAGGTTTTCACGCACCCGCCAGCCATTTAACTAACCCGCATTGACCAGCGTGGTGAAGTATGGTCAAACAATCCCATGGTCAATCCACTGCTAGGTGAAGGCCTCCGTTATCCCTCTACGATCCTGTGATTGCACAATCCATCTGGCTTCTGTGCTTGAGCTGAAGTCATCAATCCATCTCTGCAATTCGTTCCCGGCATTTGAAACATATGCCGAATTGAACACTTCATTTGGAACCCAGACATTTGGAAATAGTCAAATGTAGTTTCCCCATATTTATGTCTTTAACATGAAGCATGTTTGGTCCTTTTTATTATCAACGGGGATGTGACGAGTCACCCCTTGGCGAATCGATTAAATAATCAATGACAATTTGTACCGTAGGGCTCGGCGAACCCATTACATACATTTAACCCTTTACATTGCAAATCAAACTTCAGTTGTTCACCGATTGTAATTCGCTGTGGTTGCCCCACCTGATGACGGACGCTTGTGTTGCGCCCGAAACGCCGTGATTTAATTTAGTTATTTTAATTTTCACCTACGTGACTTTACCGAAAGAACCAAACAGTATGGATCCTTGCAGTCACAAAAACTTCAAATCTAGAATCAAACTTCAGTTCATCGACACGCGATTCAAGGCATGGCGTGAGCGTAGATAATTGACACGAACCAATGAGGACCTATACCAATGTCATCTGTTTTCTTTAAGCACAATGATAACGATAAGGGTATATCCAAATTCTATAAATATTTGAATATATTTGTTTTTATTAGCTAAGCCGAGACTGGACATATCCCTGTAAACATGTGACGGTGGTCCAACGGTGGCATGTTTGCTGGAGTGTTGGCACCAATATAATTTACCCAATCTTTCATAGACAGGTTCAAATCATTTTAAAACATAAACCAAGGGCAAATTTGAACAGCTGAAAACACAGTGCAGCTGGGACAATGGGTCAATTACGTCGATCAATCAACCAAAATGTACAAATAAATAATCACTTTTGTGGTCAATTACTGAAGGCAGGAAACCCCCCTACATACCACGCCTGGCGGGATGCAACTGATAATACTGATTGCGTAAACAATCCTTGTCCATAACCTGCCGTCCAGCGGCACACGTGGGTATAGAGTTGAAAGCTTTCATCAACTGTTTGCATGTCATCAGATATTTCCAGAAATCTAACTGATAATCGGGAGAATAATCGATTTCTTAAATAGTCGGATAGCTCAGCTCGAATATAATATGGACAACTTGCTCATTAAATGTATACAATGTGTAAGCAAATTAAGTACAGTACTCAAGATTGATACACACTGGCTCATTTATACATTAATATATTTTTATAGGTATGTGCATGGCATATGTTGACACGGTAGTTATGCAAATTGTAATTTTTTTACAAGTTTTCCAGAAATAAAATGTGTTGACCAAATTTAGTAGCCCCAT